TCGTTGGACTCCCCGAGCGCGCGGCCCTCGCGCGCTTTTCGGTTGCTGTCGTCCCCGGGGTCGCGGGCGGCGAGAGCGGGGAGGCCCCGCGCGCCAGGCCCAGAGGCGCGCTGGCGGTGGCATGGCCGGGCCAGGGAGTGCTCACGAGTCGGGCGAGGGTCGTGGGCTCAAGGACACACAAATAAGCACACACACGCAAACATCCAGGATTTCCCATGTCGTTCCATATTTTCTGGGTTTTCGTCTTCCCCCCCGCTTGCCATAGTTTCCTCTATTGTCCTGGGAGTCGACGCTTCATTGTGTCTGTGTGTTTTTCCCCTCCTGAGACGTGGGAGCAGAGTGGTCCGGAGGGAAACAGGTGGTCCTGAGGGAAAGCTGGTCCGGGGGTGCTTTGCTTTCCCTTCCTTCCTTCCTTCCTTCCGTCCTTCCGTCCTTCCGTCCTTCCTTCCTTCCTTCCTTCCTTCCCTCCTCCTCCTCCTCCTCCTCCTATAGCCCTGTTGAGCGCAAGCATTGCATTCTCGAGTCCACTTTGTCGTTCCTGCCCACGCGCCGAACGGCATATGGCTTCGTGCTCGTGCTCGAGGAAGGCGTACCTGAAGGTTTTCCGCCGCTTCCGGGCTCTCGGGGCCCTCCACGGACCCTGGGAGCGTCGGAGAACGCATCGGGATGCAGGACTCGTTCTGGGAGAGAAGCCCGAGGGTCAGGACTCCTTCCCCTCAGGACCCGTTTCCCTGCACGAACCCTACTTTCGTCACCTCTTGTCCGTTTGACTCCCTCCCTCTCTCTCATCCGCCTCTCCTCCGGTCCCAATAATGGACCTGGGGTCCAATATTGGACTTGAGGTCCAATATTGGACCTTCAGATGGGTCAAATCGGGTTCCAAATTGGTCCTGGGGTCCAATATAGGACCTCCGGATTGGGAAATCGTCACGCGCACAAAAACCCAGAGACTTCTCCGAACCGAGGTCCAATATTGGACCTCAGGTCCAATATTGGAACTGGGGTCCAATATTGGACCTCCATGTTGGAAGGTATCCAATTTTCCAATCCGCCAATCTTCCTATGGGGTCCATTACTACGACTCCATCCAATCAACTCCAATATTGGATAGACGTCCAATCAGTCCAATCGTCCAATCGCCCAGCGGGCCCTCGAGCGAAAAGCAAACGAGGGACGAAGTTCCCGCCCGAAACTTCCTTACCATACCAACGGCGACCGCTCCAGAAGCCGCAGATGCGAGCCTGAGTAAGAATTTGACACATTCGAAGCATGCCAATAATAACAAATCCTGCAAGAGATTGGGCACCATCAAGAAAATGGGCGTCTGCACATCCACCTCTTCCTTTCATTCCTGGTTCCACCTTCTTCCCCTGCTCATCTTCCTCTTCCCGATCCTACTAGCCTTCTCTGAGGGCTTACCGCGTTTCATGAGTTGTCTTTCTTCTGATCGCCATCCTCCGTGATCTTGCGTCTGCTGCTCCTCCGATGCTCCTCCTTCCTCGTGCTCCCCCTCTCCTTCCTCCTCGCCGTGTGCATCCGGATGCGTCCAGGGCCTGAGGCCCCGGGGCCCAGGCATGGGCATGAGTATTCCCCTACTGTGAGTGGCAGGGGATGGAGCATTTTGTTGAGCAAATGTGGGGGGGGGGATGAGGATGCGGACCATGTGAAACACAGGATGAGGAGCGGGATAAGGAGGACGACAAGAAATACATAAGGGAAGCATAACGATGAGAAGGGATGCCTCCTCCTCCTCCTTGTTCTCATCATCATCATCATCATCATCATCATCATCATCATCATCATCATCATCATCATCATCACCATCATCACCATCATCATCAGCAGCATGATGAGGATCATCAGCACAATCAGCATCAGCATCAGCATCAGCATCAGCATCAGCATCAGCAGCATCATCATCGTCGTCAGCAACAGCAGCATCATCATCATCATCCTGGTCCTTCTCCTCCTGCTCCTACCCCTCCTGCTCCTGCCCCTCCTCCTGCTCCTCTTCATGCCCCTCCTCCTCATCCACCTCCTCCTCCTGCCCATAGAAAGGAGGAGGAGGCCACCTGGGAATCGTCGATCTCGCAGTCCATCTCGCCATCGAGCGGCTGAAGCTCCTACAAGGAACGACGACAAAGGCGCGGACACGGACGAAGAGGGGCGGCGTTTGGGAGGCAAGATCCGGCGGCGCGACGAAGGGGAACTGAGAGAAAGAAGCCTTCTCAAAACAAAATGCGGCAGGGCTTCGAACCCCTCTGGCCCTCTGAAAATCTCTCTGTGGCTTTGGGGAAGGCTTAGGAAGCTTCTCAAAACGCCGGAGGCCGTCTGAGCCTTCTGAGAAGGCCTGCCCCCTCTGTCTTCCCCCCTGGACGCGCCGCCGAGACGAGGAAAGGGAAAGGGAGGTCCAACAGAAATGATATGAAACATCGGGTTTCGCAACGGCTTGGCGGCATGGGGGCCCCGAGACCGTCAGTCTCGGAACGTGTGCCGAGAGAGGAGGAAGGACGGTGAAAGGAATGCTCGTGCCACTGGATGGGGATCCGCCGCGAGAGTTTCTCGAGTGAAAGCTGGGAGCCCAGCTCGTCAAGCCTAGCCAAGGGACAAAGCGAACTGCTCCGTTTCTCGCCTTTCCCGGCCAAGAACTCACGCAAAATCTGCCTTTGGGCCCCGTCCAGAAACAACCCTATTTACGCCAGCCTTCCGGGATAAGGAAGTCGAAAGCGTTTCTTCTTGCAGCCCCATTGTTCCCGTCCGGGGAGGGGTTGATCGCTGCTTTGTACTCGGGGCGCCTTAATAATCGTAGGCGGAAGACGTTATCTCCAAGGACGCCCCCAAATCGACCCCAATCGCAATCTGCCCTCGCCCTCACAAACGGAAACCAGGAAATTATGCCCCCGCTGTGATCAAGGGCGCGTTCCAGTCGACCCCCAGCGGGCCTAGATTGGAATACCTTCGTCCTTCCACAAATGCCCTCCCATGCGAGCTGTTTTTCGGTCGCGCGTGTTCGTTGACTGCTTTTTGAAGAGCACGACGCTTGTGCGGCTACATCCCCGCGGGAAAAAAGGTAACACAAGTGGCACAGGGATGGAAGCCGAAACGGTGTTGAATCAGACCAGGCGGGGCCCGTCGCATCAAGTGACATATGCCTGTACATGTTACGGAAGAGCGTCTCGTCTGCAATGCGCGGTGCATGTTCGCCATCCGATTGTGGGAACGAGGCCGCAAGGCAAAACATGGAACCGCCCACGCCGGCGGCCCTGTGAAGGATGAATTGGAAGAGCACCAGGGCATTAAGTGGCATCCGCCTCCCAATGTTGCCACTGGGCGCGCAAGCCAAAGCAAAACATATCGATGAGCTGGCCCATGGTGCACGCCTGCGCACGCTGCCAACATTGAAAGGCGAGTCTCATTGAATGATCCTCTTTGGACGCTGCTGTCTGTAGACCATTCAAGGTGTTCGTCTTGTTGATTGTGTTATAACTTGTCCCTGGCTGTGTAATATTGGCAAGGTCTTTCTGGGCTTGCATCAGCGTTGGTCCACATGATCATGAATCAATGTGTGAACGGTGTCGTTGCTTGTTTAACGGCGTTGGCTTTTCAGTTATGTGCAGTCAGTCTGGAGAAACACTTTGCACAATGGAAACCTTTCCACGCATGCAATAGTTGTGGGTACACATGCTCGAGCAGCACACATAATCAACGACGCACGCACACACCGACACACACGCAAACGCTCACGCAAACGCACACGCACGCTCACACGCACACACACAGACACACACACACACACACACGCACACACACACACACCTACACACACTTTTGGCGATCGCGGCCTCGCTCGCAGCGTCGAGGCGAAGCACACAAGGCGCGAAGGCTTCTGAGTAGTCCCGCCGCCTTCCGAGCTTCTCGTTTCCACCCCTCGCTCGCCGCGGACAAGAACGTCCACCCGCCCCCCATGGTAGCGTCCAAGCGCATGCCCCCCCCCTCCCGAGTCTACCCGGGCGGCCTGGCGCCTCCTAGGCGCAACGCGTCCAATATGCCCGGGATGGCTTCCAGGACGACCCAAGTTTGCGACCCCCTCTCTATCTCTGCCGCTGAATGCACTTATGAATTGCCAGAGACTCCTGGGCGACGGCCTTCCAATCAAAAAACGTCGCCGTCCGAGAGAACACGACAACATTGATAATTGATACGTTCTCACAATGTGCTCATCGGATTTGCCTCGGTCTCCTTGTCAGTCCACTGATCCGTCAGCTTATCGATCGGCCCACGCATCAGTCCCCAACGCTTGGGATGGGCAAGCAATCGTAATGGGCCTGGGCTCTAGGTAGGTACGACGATACATGGGCAAGCAGACTGGGAAGAGGAGATGAAAGAGGAACAGCAGCAGCAGCGGCATCAGCAAGACCGGGAAGGGAACACCGATCGAAGATGATCACAAACCCCTCACCCCCCCCGATCGTCTTGAGGATATCGCCGAAGCCTGGGGAGGAGCGCGAAGACTATTCCCCGATCTCTGTGTGAGGACGGAGGGGTGAGGGACAGCGGACCTCGATGATGTGTCAGCACTGTTGTCGGGCATGCGCACCTACAGAGCGAGCGAGGAGGGGGGGGGGTCGACGGTTCCCTGCAGCCACGCATGGGGCACGACCTCGCTTGCCCTCATCCGCCGAAGAGCGGGTTGTAAGCCCGAAATTCGCATTACAGCTGCAAGGGGACGGACCCATAGATCCGACGTTGCGAAAAATAGAGACATCGCAGAAAATCGCTCGAGCCAGATCGATCTGTGATGGTCCAGGGGCCCGAAACAGGGCGACAACGCCTGGTGAGGAAGAGGGGAGGTAAGGGAGGACGTGACAGAGAGGCAACAGAGGTCAGGCAGGATATGCTGAGCGAAGCCGACTAATGGAGGGGAGCTCCCCGGCTGCCGCGGCCGCCCGCAACTCCGCGGCGTACCTGTCCATGGCAATGTCTTGGGACATGGTGCCGGCCTGAGCAGGCTGTGCGCACCTCCTGCTCCTCCACGTCATCGTCCCGCTCCCCCCCACTTACTGCTCGGCGTCGTCGTCGTCGTCGTCGTCCTCCTCCTCCTCCTCCTCCTCCTCCTCCTGCTCCTCCTCCTCCTCCTCCTACTCCTCCTCCTCCTCCTCCTCCTCGCCGCCCCGGGGGTCCCGAGTCCGAGGGGACCCCCAGGCCAAGCGGGCGACGCACGCCCGCGCCCGCGCTCGCCCGCGCCCGCGCGCGCCCGCGCGCGCGGCCGCCGCGACCGAGCCAGCGCGGGCGGCGAGGGCCCAGGCGGCGGCGGGGCCGGGGGCCCGCAAGAGCGCTGCCCGGGGGCGGCGACGCGCGGTGCGGGCAGCTCCTCGGCCGCTGGTTCCTCCCTGCCCACTGCCTCCGCCTCCGCCTCCTCCTCCTCCTCCTCCTCCTCCTCGCTCCCCGCTCTGGGGCTGGCCTCCGCCGCTTCCTCAGCTGTTTCCTCCTCCTCCTCCTCCACCTCCTCCTCCTCCACCTCCTCCTCCTTCTCCTCCTCCTCCTCCTGCTCCTGCTGCTCCTGCTGCTCCTCCTGCTCCTCCTCCAACTTGTCCTCGGCCTCCTCCTCCTCCTCCTCCTCCTCCCTTTCCTCCTCCTCCTCCTCCTCCTCCCTTTCCTCCTCCTCCTCCTCGCTCCCCGCTCTGGGGCTGGCCTCCGCCGCTTCCTCAGCTTTTCCTCCTCCTCCTCCTCCTCCTCCCCTCCTCCACCTCCTCCTCCTCCCTCCTCCTTCTCCTTCTCCTCCTCCTCCTCCTCCTCCTGCTCCTGCTGCTCCTGCTGCTCCTGCTGCTCCTCCTCCAACTTGTCCTCGGCCTCCTCCTCCTCCTCCCTTTCCTCCTCCTCTCCTCCTCCTCCTCCTCCTCCTCCCTTTCCTCCTCCTCCTCCTCCCTTTCCTCCTCCTCCTCCTCTTCCTCGTCGTCCTCGTCCTCGTTCTCGTCCTCGTCCTCGTCCTCGTCCTCGCCTCCTCCTCCTCCTCCTCCTCCTCCTCCTCCTCCTCCTCCTCCTCTGATTCCTCCTCCTCCTCCCCCCCCTCCTCCTCCTCGTCCGCTCCTCCTCCTCCTCCTCCTCCTTCTCCTCCTCCCTCCTCCTCCTCCTCCTTCTCCTCCTCCTCCTCCTCCTCCTCCTCCTCCTGCTCCTCCTCCCCCCTTTCTCTCCTCCTCCTCCTCCTCCTCCTCTTGCTCCTCCTCCTCCTCCTCTTCCTCCTCCTCCTGCTCCTCTTCCCCCTCCTCATCTCCTCCTCCTCCTCCTCCTCCTCGTCCTCCCTGCTCCTCCTTGTCCTCCTCTATCTACGTCCTCCTCCTCCTGCTCCTCGTCCTCCTCCTCCTCCTTCTCCTCCTCCTCCTCCTCCTCTTCCTGCTCCTGCTCCTCCTCCTCCTCCTCCTCCGCCGCCTCCGCCTCCTCCTCCTCTCCTCCTCCTCCTCCTCCTCCTCCTCCTCCTCCTCCTCCTCCTCATTCTCCTCCTCTTCCTCGCCGGAGGCCAGCTTTTTCAGGGCGGGTTGGGCGTTTCGCCGGAAACTTCCTCAGCATTTAGGACTCTGAAGCTCAAAAACTGACAACAGCTTCACAGGTGCAGGGCAATTGTTTTTCAAAATGTGGCTCTCGCCTCAGCGCGGCGCACAGTCGTTAAACATTTGCAAGAACTCCACGGATTGAGGGCGGGTCCTTTGCAAAATGGGGTTCTCGCCTTCGCGCGGTGCACATATTTGCAATGGATTCACGGATTGAGGGCGGGTGGTATTCAAAATGTGGCTCTCGCCTTAGCGCGGCGCCCAATCGTTGTACAAATTTGCAAGAGCTTCACGGATTGAGGGCGGGTCGTTTTCAAAATGTGGCTCTCGCCTCAGCGCCGCGCGCATTCGTTACAACATTTGTTACAGTTTGCACGGGTTGAATGCGGGTCGTTTTAAAAATGTGGCTCTCGCTTTAGCGCCGCGCACAATCGTACGAAAAGATTTGCAACAGTTCTCGCGGATTGAATGCGGGTCGTTTCCAAAATGTGGCTCTCGCCTTAGCGCCGCGCACAATCGTATCAACACATTGCAAGGGTTTCACGGATTCCCAAGATCAGCGTAACAAAAATGGCGGTTTGAAAAGGATTCAGGATTATGAGGGCGCAACGGTTACGTTAGTTCCCTGCGTTGAAGTCTCAGGAATAGTCTTCTGGCACCATTCACGATCGTCAAGACGCAGCAGTGAGGTTGATCAGTGGCGTTGGAATCCCGATAATACTGTTTTGGCATGCTGCAGGGTCTTTAAACGGTTGTCCTCCCCCCAACGGACCTGAGGTAACTTGGAGGGAGGGTTTATTCCAACATCGTTGATGACTCTCGGGTTTACACTGGTCTTCCTCCTCCTCCTCTTCCTGCGTGTGTTCCTCCTCCTCCTACTCCTCCTCGTCCTCGTCCTCCTTCATTCCTTGTCCTTGTCCATAACTTTCCCCAGTCGCACCCCGAACCTGGTCGAACGATAGCCCTGAAGCTAAAAAATGTGCAACGGCTTCGCAGATGGAGGGCGGGTGGTTTCCAACCTGTGGTTTCCGCGTAAGCGCCGCGCACATTCGTTTCAAAACATTGTAATAGCTTCGTAGATGGAGGGCGTTTTTTTTTATTTTTTTGAAAATGTGGCTCTCGCCTTAGCGCCGTGAATTGTCAGCGCACCACAAATGGTGTTTTGGAGAGGCTCAGGATTAGGAGGGTGCAACAGTTACGTGGATTCGCGGTGCTGGTGTTCCAGGAATGGCGTTCTGGAGTGATTGAACATCTTCAAGACGCAACAGGTCAGGTTGACCCGTGGCTTTGAAGTCTCGAGAATAATGCTTGGGTATGCTTCAGGGTTTTCAAGCGGCTGTCTCCCAACGACGCAGTTCTCTCAGTGAAAATGAACCCTTCTAGGGGCCGATGAAGAGGGAGCTTGGAGGGAAGGTGTATGCCAACATCGTTGATGACTCGTGGGTTTACACTGGTCCGCCTCCTCCTCCTCCTCCTCCTCCTCCTCCTCCTCCTCCGCGTGCTCTGCATCTTCCTCCTCCTCCTACTCCTCCTCCTCCTCCTCCTCTGTCTCCCTTTCCTCCTCCGTTTCCTCCTTCTCCTTCCTCCTCCCTCCTCCTCCTCCTCCTCCTCCTGCTCCTCTTCCTCCTTTTGTACTCCTCCTCCTCCTCCTTTTCGTCGTCCTCCTCCTCCTCCTTCTCCTCCTCCTCCTCCTCTCTTCCTCCTCCTCCTCCTAATACTAAGGGTCTGTTCCCGCACCCAGGTGGCTCGGTTCCCCGTCCTCGTGGTGAAGGAGGTACCCAGACCAGGCGGGAAGGAGATCCTGAGAGGGTCGATACGGCGGTCTCGGGTCACATATTCATGGACGGCAGCTGCCAGAGACACATCATTAAAGAGCTTTCCAGAGCAAGCTGGGGTTTTACAGCCCATGCAGACGACGGTTCTAAATTGTTTAGTGCGTTTGGGCCTATGTGGGCCCCCCTCCCCCAGACCAGCCAGGCTGGGGAGCACGGGGCCCTCGAAGCTTCCTCCCAGTGCCTTGTTGGCCCCTCTACTGGCTACTCCGATTGTCTCAATGTTGTTCGTGCCCACGGTGAGCCCCCCGCCATTAAGCTGTCCCATAAGAGGCCTTATGCGGGGCTCATGTTTTCTAGCTTTTCTTCGTGGTGGACGGGAACCCTCCACGAAGTCAAAGCCCATGTTGTGGACTCGGATGACCTGTCCGACAGGGACCGATGTTTAAAAATTGGTAATGATGCTGCGGATGAGGCTGCCAAGGCTGGCCTCGCCACGCATCCTAGGCCCACGGACGCCCAACTGACTGACCTTGCGCACAACATCAGCGTTGCGAAGGCTGTTTGCCGCCTGGCCGCTCGGATTTTGCCACTGTGGCCTCGGCTCGACCTCAGCGGGGTTGTGCTGGCCAGGCCCCCATAAGGAAATCACAGTGAAACCAGGCACGGAGTTTGAGCATGTGTGGGAGTGGTGCCTCTCTTATTGGCGTTGTGGAGTTTGCTTGCGCACTAAGCATCCCACTCCGTTAATTTTCGGTAGCCCAGGCAAGCCTGCATGTGAAGGTTGTTCTGGCGTTATTCCCGACACTTTGTGGCAAGTCTCGGCTCTCGGACACAGGCTTCTATCCGTCCAGTGTAGCGACGACTCGCCGTTGTTCGTTTGTGTCAGTTGCAAGGCTGTCTCGACCCTGGGTCCTCTAGCTCCCCTGGGTAAGAAGTGCGGGCGCCCTACCAGGAACAATGCTGAGAGATGGAAGTACAGAATATGTAAGGGTCGGCACCCACGACTTCCTGGTGTGACTGTTGAAATCTCACCTGAAGTTGTGAATGCACACCCTGGCTCGCAGGAAGAAATTGTCGTTGAGTCGTCGTCCGTGCAACCCGCGAGCCAGGAGCTGCAGCAGATTAACGATGTCGTTGAGTCTTCGTCTGTCGATACGGCTGCTGCAGCAATCTCAGTCAGTGGCCCAAGTGGCCCGAGCAGCTTCGCCCGCACCAGTCTTTTGCAGGATGGCACCGTTTTGCCGCTCACGGGAGATGGGCAGCAGCGTGAGGAGGTCGTTGACCAGTCGTCTGTCGTGCAGGTCGTGGTTGCTGCTGCCACTCCCCAGTTGTTCCACTCGACCCCTGCAGCCCAGGGGTCGAGGGTCCGCCCTGCGTCTGTTTCTTGTGGTGAAGTTCGGCCCTACAAGACGGCTCGACACACCGCCAATTGTGCAGAGTCAGTGCAGCAGGCTGGTTTCTCTCTTCCCTCGGCTCCCTCCAACGAGAGAGGGGCTAGGGGTCACGTGCTGAGCTGTGAGGATGGTGCGGAGGGTCCTCACGCTCTCACGGAGAGCGACCAAGGTTTGTTTCAACGCCCGTCCCCAACTTTTGATTCGGATGGTATCGAAATCCACGGTCTCAGAGCGCCTTCCCACGAAGGGTCGTACCGATGTAGTGTTTTGTCCCACTCGACCCCTG